GGAGGGAGGCCCAGGTGACACAGAGATGCAGGGAGGCTCTTCCAGGTTCAGTCACTACAGGCTGAAGATTCGGGGATGTGGGCTGCTGTCACACAGCAAGGGACACAGAGGCAAAGACCTAGGTGAGGGTGAGCCTCGAAGTGCAGAGGTTGCGTGGTCTGGAATCCTCTAATACAGGGAGCACAGCAATTACTGGTACTGACTGACCGTGCAGATGCAGTAAGGAGGTGATTTGCAGGGCAATGTCTACTGCCTAGACTAGAGGCCACGTGGTGTCCAGTGTGCAGCTGACTCTGGCCGTAAAGTTTCTTCTAGAACGTAGAGAAGATGGACCAGGGGGCAGGCACTGTGTACAAGGGACTCTTCCAGCCAGGAACAGGGAGAGGAAAGCTTGCTGTTTCCTCTGATGGAAAGGGAGAGAGAGGAGAAGAACTCGTGTCATGGCTTCCAGCCCAAATCCCAGGATGTGGTAGGTGGGAGTTAAGAGGGTGAGTAAGGTTGGGTAAGGTGACTCAAACCTGTGATTTCAGCTACGTGAATATCAGAGGATGGAGATTCAAAGCCACCCTGGGTAACAAGTTATGCAGATCCTACCTCAACCGACAAGCTGTGCATGGTGCACGTGTCTGCAATCCCAGCTATGGTGGGGCCGTAGGTAGGAGGATTGCAGCTTGAGGCCAGCCCCAGGCAAAAACAGAAGGAAGACCCTACCTGAAAAATAAGTAAAGCAAAAAGGGCTGGGGGGCCTGGCTGGTGCAGGACCATGTTAGTATTTTAATCTTACACAATTATTTTTTTCTGATTATCAAGGTAATACAGCCTGGTTGTATAAAAAGTAAAACCATAAAAACCCAAAATATAGAAAGAAAAAGTGCAGTTATTAAATCGCAGAGAAGAAAAATTCAATGCATCTGTGAAGGTCTTCCGATTTTTCCTCGGCATTTATTAACAACATATGCATGTACGTCCCTAATCAAAGTGAATTTAACAAATACAGTTTTGCAGCTTGGCTTCTTACAGTCAGACACATCTTGGCATTCCAAGTCACCAAGTGAAGATCTTCTCCAGTCTTTCACAGGAGCGTCGGGGGTCTCTGTTCAGATGTTCCATGGTTGGTTTTAGAACACCAGCATCCTCCGTCTGGGATCCTTGCAGACACAGTCTTGCAGGAGATCTCAGTGCCTGTGACCATTTCTGCAGGAGAGGCGACTGGGAAGACTGAGTGACTGCTAGGTCAGTGTGTGTGCTTCCTACAACATGACACCTCTCGCAGAGTCAGGCATGGCCTCCTCAAGTCACTTGACTGGTCAAGTCCACAGCTGCTGGGGTCTAGCTCCTCCAGCTACCCGAAGTCATGTCTAGCTACAGATTCACACCCTGATGGACCCCCACGCTCAAGGGTGGCTTAACGAATGCCACCAGCGTCGGATAAAACATAATGACAGTGGGTGTCCTTGGCAGCTGCCATGGATACAGCAAGGAGTCAGATTCAGACTCGGGTTGAGCTGTTTAGCACTGGTGCCAAAACCCTCAATGTGCTAGGCAGGCACTTTACCCCTTGAGCCACTCCATCAGCCCTGTTTTGTGATGAGTTTTTTTCAAGATAGGGTCTTAGGAACTATTTGCCTGGGCTGGCTTTGAACTACGATCCTCCTGATCTCTGCCTCCCAAGTAGCTAGGATTACAGGTGTAAGCCATGGTGCCTGGCTCCTCAACATACTTTTCGTTTGGAAATCAAGACTCTCCGTCATATATCGCTGTGTGAGACCCCCCTCACCTGCAGCCCTCTGAAGTATCCAGGAGTGGGAGGAATCAGCTGAGGGCGTCAGCTCAATCGTCCCGCGGGGCTGGTAAACTCAGGTTGCTGGAAGGATCCGCACACATCTCTTACAGACACCCACTTTTTCTAGGAAGGGAAGCTGGGGTACCATGGAGTCGCAGCCTGAGGACACTTCTGCCTTCTTCAGAGACCAGTGGTCAGAGAGCCCTGCTTTCTCTGTGTCAAACTCCATTCTACATGCTGCCATCTATTTATTCTGAAGGACTAAGGCATGATGGAGGTAATTAAAAAAAAAATTACCCAAAAGCCTCTGAAAAGGCCAAATGAATTCACCTCTCATTGACACGGCAAAAGTGAAGTTGTTTTAATAAAAGACGACGCCTGTGGAAAGTGGTATACAAAAGGAAGTGAGCGCTCTCGATGATCACGTGATACTCAGACCAGACATGCCTCCCAGCGCTCACCTCTCCAGTCCTGATAGAGCGAGTCCTGAAAAAGCGAGGCAGACAGAGAGGAAAGAAAGGGGAAACACAACCAGACACAGGTCATTCCTTTCGGTTTTTCTTTTCGAATTAGGGCAAATAAAAAGAGAAAATCTAAATCTGGTGCTCAAATAGCCTTTGCAGTCTGATCCAATCCTTTCTCCTGAAGAGTACGTTTGTCAGTGTCCCAGATCGGAGCGGTGACAGACTCACTGTCCTTCCCTTTGTCCATACTGGGCTTGAGAGGCGACGTGTCTGCCATCATCTGTCCAGAATGGACACTGTGTGGACGCTCCTTTCAAATTCCATCATTTTTGTTATTTGTTGTCCTTCACCTTTCATCTGACAATCCCGCACATCTGTAAGACTTAAGAATTTATCTAGGGTGAAGTGGAGAAAACCACCCCAACGATGTTTGCAAAATTTTACTTGCCAGTAACGACTGTAATTATCGTCACTTAAAGATGAAGAGAGTGCACGCCATCTGAAGTCACAAGCAAATAAACATCTTGAAGAGGGGAATGTGCAAGATATTTGAATGAGGTGTGTGGGTCAGAACCACCACTTCTTAGAACCACCACTTCTTAGACCTCCGAAGCAGCTCTGAGAAGCCTGATTGTCAAGCTCTCAGATGAAGTGGTCCGGGGACCTCACTTTGAGGACTACATGTCCTCTCTGCTAAACGTGGCATCTTAGGAGCCTGGAATGGTACCTGGGAGACCTCATTCTCGATGTGCTACCTGCCTAGTCCCAGACCCGTCCTGGCACTTCCCCTAAGGACTTGCTGAGTGTCTCCTGTGCACAAGCCACTGTCCTTATCAGAACGTGCCAGGTGCCATGGAGATACCCGTGGCATATGGACTTCAGAAGGAGAAGCTTGAGTTTGGGTAGCCACAAGGAGGGTGACCTTCTAATGGAGGTGGGACTGGAGACAGAGCAAGGGTATGGGGTCACAGGGAACCACTGCCCATTTAGGAGAAGGGCAGTGTGACCAGTTGTATCAGTCAGGACTCTTCATTGCTTGTGACTGAAACTCGACTCAGGTGGATTTAAGCAAACGAGGGGGATCGTACTGCATTTGTACCTGCAAAGTCCAGGTGTAAGGCACAGTTTCAGATGTTCAAAACAATGCTATCAGAAATGGCTCTCTCCTGATGTCTCGGCTCTGCTTTCCTGAGCTGGGGTGATTCTCAGGTAGCACCCAGCCATGTGACAAAGCCATGTGGCCACAGCAGCCTGGTTTTCTTTCTCACTAGCATGGCAACCCTAGTGAGAAATACCTGCCTCCTTCTCAGAAGCCCTGCGGTGGGCACTCAGTGGACTATCTTGAGTCCTGTGTCCAGTCCAGTGAGGCCGAGGGACATAACTAAATTAAATGTATAAAGCTGGGCCACAGAATGTGTGGTGACCAGACCTACTCAAACTGCTGGGCCACGTACAGCTGAGGCAACTTAAAACAGAAGCAGCACCTGTATCCCCCTCTGGATACTGAGCAGGAGTAAACTGAACGTTAGAGACAGGATTACTTCAACCTTAGGATCTGGAAGGTGTCAGAGGGTCCCAGTGTAGCAGAACCTTCATCCTGCCCCACCCCCCAGGTCCTCTGCCAGTGGTGCTGGACCACCTGGCTTCCATCTCCATGGCCGTCTCCTCGACCACGGTTGCTCTGCTCCACCTCCACAGAGGCAGGGATCCTCTCTTGGGAGTTCTGGGAGGTAAGGTGGGCACCAGCAAGAAGGGAGGCCCTCCAGCCATCTCGGATGCACCTGTCATCAGTGTCCAGCCTGGCCAGGCAGGGTCAGCTTGGCTGCTGCACAGATTACCTCCCCTCTGCCTTGAAGCTACTGTCACGTTCCTGGAAGGTGCTGGTCCTTCCCTATCCTTCGTGGGTGCTGCTGTGCCCTCGCTGGCCAGAGCAGGGCCCTTCTCTGTTCCCAGGGGCCCAGCTCTGCCACGGGACTGAGCTCCAGTGCTTGCTGCCTCTCCTCAGCTGCTTTCTTGGGCCTCTTGCTCTTGGGATGGGAGGCAGGGGCCATAGTGACATTTCCTAGCATATTTGGTGTCTGAGAATGTTATTTACAAATGCTCTAAGTCCATGTGCCAGCTTTGCTGTCCAAGTGTCTAAGTGACTCTCCTGAGCTCACGTCGTAACCCGCTGAAGTCAGCACGGTGAGTTTTCTAGGCAACTCTTCCTTCCCCCATTGTCTCGGTCAACTGGACCAGAAACGCCAAGGCTCTAGACACTGAAGATAAAATGCTCATAGCTACCGTTAAGAAAAACCTGGTTGTTAATAAAACCCATTAAAAGCATTTCGGTAACAAAGTCTTGTCTGATAACTTTATGTTATGAAAAGGTACCCTTTCTTTAAGTGTCTATAAAATTATCATGCAACGTGAAAAATTACATCTATTTTTGATCCTTAAATAGGATCACCCCAAATAACGCCACTGTGATGATTCAGGAAAAATATTTACAACAACGGACATTAGCTGGTTAAGAGGAACAGCAGAGAAAATGACAGGTGTGCCCCCTTTCTGTGTCTAACGAGAGTCCATGGCGTGGCTGTCACCAACCTGTTTAACAGGGGAGGTGCGTTCGAGGGCATGGAAGCCACAGCAGAGCTCTAAAGCTGACCATTGACACATCAGTGACGTGGACTGACTCCCAAGTGTGTGGTGTCCCCAAATGATGCTAAACGCTGTGATTCAACAATTGAATCAGAATTTCATGTTATGGGGGGAACGCACCAGCGGTGGGTGACTGGCAGAGGAGTGGCGCTCGGTGAACGGGATGCCTCTACCATGGGTTCTGGGCACCATGTTACCAGCACCAGACGGGTCACCTGACTCTGGCCCCATCTTACCTCTGGGGTGGTCACAGTACGCCTGTGACTCACCATGACAATACTTAGACAACTTCTTGCCTTGAGTCCGAATCAACTAAAAAAAACACTTTGAAAATGTGTTCTCTGACAATCTCCTTAAAATATTTGCATGGATCAACTTTATTGAAATGAGTTATGGAGGTCATGCGGCAAAGGCCCATCATGGAGAAAAGGCCCGTTTACCAGCCCGGCTACTTGTTCCTGCCGAGTGTCCTCTGCTTTTCTGCGTGCTCTACAATCTTCTCCTCCACACTAAGCCCCTTGCGCTTCCGCACAGCATTCATGTACTTGCGGGCCTGGTTCTCGGAGTCGGCCTTCTCCCCGAAGTGCAGGTACTCCTCCTCCGTGGTGGGCACCCAGAAGGGGTCACTGGGGATGACCTGTGACAGAGGGGACGGGTGCGCCAGGTTAGGTAGACATGCTTAGACGTCACCACCAAACTGCTCAATCACAGTCTTAGCTGATGAAAACGTTGAGCAGTAAACAGCTTATCTTGCCATGAATGGCGATAAACAAGCATGAAGAGTCCTTGGGCCATGGACCCGTGAAGGCAGTCAACACACTGTGACATCTGTGTCACCCTGTGCTCCTACAGAGCCAGCTCAGAACACCAGGTGGGAAAGAAAACCACTAATTCTTAATAAAAACAACAAAGAGCTATCCTTTTTGCTAAGGGTTATCTGTGTGTTAGAGTCCTCATCAATTTTGCCTCTGTTACCAACAAAAAACAAAATAGGAGGTCTGAGTTTTTGCCCTAAAATTTGATGGTGTGCCCGGGTGAGCTGACCCAGGTGGACCACACATCCTGCCCCAGCCAGAGGCAGACCCAAGCAGCCCCGCTTCCTCTCGCCGCTGGTCTTGTGACCGTTCACACCTAGCTAGGCAGTGAAGCCTAGCAGAAGGCGGTTTCCCTCTGACGTGACTCTCCAAGGGGAAGGGAGGACAAAGAGCAAAGGAAAACAAAGGGGAAATGAGTCTAGGATGCCAGAAGCCAGGCAACAAGGTCCAGGGGGTGGTGGACTTGGACCTGGACCTTCCTGAGCTGCATGTCCGGGGGACTGAGTTCTGGGCTAGGGCAGGGGCCGCAGGTGCTGAAGGCTCTCTTCAGTATGAAGGAGTGCCGTGCCCAACGCCTTCCTTCAAGGGGACTAGAAACCTACCAATGAAAATAAACCCCTGCAGTGCTGCATGCGGGGTACACGCCTGTAACTCATCTCAACAAATAAGCTGGGTGTGGTGGCATACACTTGTCACCCAGCTACGCAGGAAGCAAAAATAGGAGGCTCCCGGTCCAGGCCAGCCCAGGCAATAATGCAACGTCCAACTAAAAATATCTAAAGCAAAAAGGGGGCTGGGGGCAGGCTCCAGTGGTACAGCCTAGCAAACACGAGTCCTGAGCTGAAATTCCAGGACCACTAAAAAAAAAGAAAAAGAAGCTCAGTAGGCAGATTACACAGAAGACTGCTGAAAACAGAAAAGGTGAACAGATAAGACTTGATTTCCAGAATACATAAAGAACTCTCTTATAAGTCAATAAAAAGGCACAAGAAACCTTAACAATCCAATAAAAAACTAGCCAAAGACTCGGCTAGCCGTTTCTCCAAAGAAGACATGCGAGTGACCAACAAACACCTGAGGAGGTCCAGCACCTGAAGTCACTTGGGGACTGCAAGCCGGACCGCCATGAGATTCCACTTCACACCTACGGGCACAGCCTTAACACAGACAACCCTGAGAAAAGGGAAAGCAGACATGAGGAGGACGGGGAGAAACCGGGAGCCCCGCACATGGCTGTTGAAGATATTTGGGCGGCTCTGTCGAAAGTCAAACATAAAACCACCTCATGACCCTACAAAGACTCACAGGTCTACACCCCAAGGAACTGAAAACAAGTTCACGGGAGCCCAAAGGTGGGGAATCCTGAATGCCTACAAATGCACGAGTGGATGCATGACATACCATGTGGGGTATCACACAATGGGGTATTACACAGTCCTAAAAAGGAATGAAGAGCTGAAACATGCACCTCCATACCAAGTGAGTCAGACAGAAAAGGCCACACACCACCTGAATCCATGTGTGCGGAATGTCAGAACAGACAGATCCACGGAGGACCAGGGGAGGCGGAGGGGGAGACACTGCCTATTGCGTAAGAGTCTGGCCCGAGTGATGGACATTTTGGAGGCGGTGGCTGCCGAGCACTGTACATGGACTAAACACAAAAGGACAGTTTAAAGTGGGCTACTTAATAAATTACTTTTTTTTTTTAAAAAGAGAATACAGAAAAACAGAGTTAAGCAATACAAAAGTCAAAAGCCCTAAAATGTGTGTGCAGAATTTCTTTAGTAGAAGTTCTACCACCAGAAACAGCTCTAATAAATAGGAAAAGGGAGACGGGAGTCAAGTGGGAGTGACCATGAAGTAAGGACCCCGCAGCAGGGGCCTCCCAGGAAGGACTGTGCCCAACCTCCAAATGCACACCTCACGGCTTACTGATCTAAAAGCTGTCCTAGGTACTTTTTTTGTGGATGTGGTGAAAATGATAGCGAAGTTTATCACCGTGCACTTTCAGCAGACTGAAAGCAGGTCGTCTCCAGAGTGAAAACCACATGGCCTGCCCTGGCAGGCCTCTGCCTCTGCCTGCACACCCACTCCATCACTAACAGGCTTGTGGCCTTCGTGAGTTAACAGCCTCCGAGGTTTACCCCTGACCAATCTTCTGGAGCGAGACTGATGAGACCTTTGCACATGGCTCTGTTTTAATTTTCAGGCTGAGCCTGAGGTGTGGGGAGGTGCACACTCGCCCAGCCTGGCTGAGCACAAATTCACCTTCCTTTGACCTCTCTGACAGGGTCCTGAGTTTCTTCTGTGGCCTTGAACCTTAGCTGTGGCTTTGCTGGAGGAAGACACAAATGACTATTTCTCTTTGAGGGTAGCACCTCAGTAAATGCTTGATAAGTTATACACTGTCAGGATAAACTGCTGATACCTGCCTTGAGTACACAAAACTCAGCTTATTATAAGAAGCAGGTATTTTGCCGAGTGTGGTGGTGCTCAGCGATAATCCCAGCAAGCAGGAGGCCCTCAAGTTCAAAGCCAGCCTGGGTTACATAAGGAGACCCTGTAGAATGTAAGCCTCTTAGGAAACCAACGAGGTGCCAGGGTAGAGGGTGGCCCTGGATCTCCAGATGCTGCCAGCACCAGGCATGGGTGTGGAGGTGCTGAGGGACCAGGGTGGGACCAAGAGGCAGTGTCACACTGGTTGGCACCGCTGTCCTGAGCTAGTGGTCCCAGCAGACAAGCCATGTCATGCAAAGCCCACAGAGGATCAAGGGTACCTTGTGGAGGCCAGGTTCCCCTTGCCTGCTTCCCATGGGGTCACAGATGCCCTCTCCTTACAGAGGGATGGGGACAAAGTCAGGGGACTGAACACTACCTGAGTAGTCAGTCACAAAGACTGTCTACCCTGGAAGGATGTGTGATGTCATAGTTTGTTTATTTGTTTTTGTTTTGAGACAGGGTCTCGCTATGTACCCCAGGCTGACCTCAGACTTGGGATCCTCCTGCCTCAGCCTCCCGAGTGCCAGGATCAATGGTGTGTGACATGCACAAGTGTTAAGCTTGTTCCTGGAGCCTCCCCTAACTGACTGGAACATAAACCCAAAATAGAATGTAAAGAAGATACATGGTCTTAGCAGGTCTGAGTTATAGTACTGAATAAATTTTAAATCCTATTGGTTTATTTTTAAAAAGCAACAAATTATATAGAGAGAAATAAATGGGGAGCTAGGTGAGATGCAGTCTGCCAATTTAAAGCCAGAGTCATTGTTTCAAAAACAGAAGACCTGGAAGTTGTGACAGGGGCCCACTTTTGCTGGGACCCCACCAGACATCTGGGGTTGGCCGGGTTTGTTTCGTAAAAGTGCCTAGGACTAAAGTTTGCACTCACGGACGTCTGCCCTGGGGGCCCCTTTGGCAACTCAGCACTCAGGCTCAGCTGCCCAGGCTGCGTGTGTCTAAACCAGGACCTGCTTTCATCACATCACTCCCACACCTGTGGACACCCTGAAGCCACTTGCCTCAGCGTGTCCAAGGAGCTCCAAGAACAGAGCAGGCTCCACTTGGCCACAGAGCAGAACTTGTCACCAGACTAGAGGAAGAGGTGCCTCTTCTTCACCAGCTCACCCAGAAATCACCTGCCCAGTGCAAGAATGTGCTTTATACAAGTCAACAGTCTCAAGTGGACACCACCCTCTAACTCATGGGAAGAGCCCAGGGCAGCCAATAGACCCCAAACCCAGAAGGAAAAGGCGTCGGGAGCTCTCTCAGGTTTTGCCAGTTTCCTACAATGATGGCCAGCAGGGAGGAAATGCTAGTCCTCTCCAGGGCTCTCCTGGGTCACTTGTTCCCCACGTGGCATCAGTGTCCCCCTCCCCCAGAGCGATGGCAGAATTACAAGGAGAATCTAGGAGTTATGCTGACACATAGCGGCAGCACTGCTTGGTAATATTTTTCTTTCTGTGCCCGGTTTAAGCTCCTTTTCTTCCTTTTTCACAGAAGGGTAGTAAAACTTAGAGAAATTATGAGATTGCTGACTTCAAAGGTTTCCTCATGGAAAATGCCTATAATTTTATTTTCTCTATTTTTTTGAAGCACTTTCTCTCAAAAGCTCTTGATTGTAAATTATACGGTGTGGTAGAATACGAACGAAAAAAAAATGTCTTGGAGTGAGAAGCCAGAGCTCAACAACTGTGTTACTTCTAAACCTAACTATGGGGGAAACCAAGACAGCCAAGAAATACCAGATCAATTACATCTAATTATGACATAGTTTTAAAGACTTTCAAAGATGTGGAGCTTTTGGAAGCTGGGCCATGACAGGTGGCAGGAAGATGACAGAGGATGGTGCAAAACTTTTCTTGACAATATTTCCCCTAAAATTATTTATTAAGAGGTTGATTTCTTAATAACAAGCAGTAGCCAAGCCAGAAACTAATGTTTTAAAAACTACTAGTGTGTAAAATCCATTTTCAGTTTTTTCTTAATTCTGAGAGATAAAGGAGCTCAAAACCCAGCCTGGCTCTCCTGTAGAACTACTCCAGGTAAACCCCACATTTTTACACTGTGTCCATCAACAGCCCTTCTCCGCTTCTCTGGAAGTTGGGCCTGCAGCCCTGCTCAGGAAGCATGGGCACACACTACAGCCAGACAGCACATTGAGGCTTTGCAGAGAGTCTCTGTCCCAACTACTTCACTCTGCTTGAAAAGAGATGGCATGGCTGTTTTCCATGAAAACTGTATTTCCCAAAACCAGAAATGGACCTACGGCTTGATGACTCTGACCTAGTTAAGACTACAACTCTCAGCCCCCCTGTGAGGTAGGGCCTCACAGACATGGTCACCTGACTGTGCTCCCTGGGATCCAGATGTGACGGGTGGCCCACCAGTGGGAGCCAAGTGCAGAGAAGGGCAGGGCAGTTGATCAGGATGCAGCTGGTCTGTCACCCTGGGCCACATGCCAGACTCAAATGAAGAAAAACTTTTGACTTACAGATTTTAAAAAATGTGCTTGAGCAAATCACATTCAAGGATAAAACTTACTGTAAAATGATGAGTATTTAAAACAGAAGATAGAATATCTGAGCTCAAATGTACCATTCTTCTAAGAGTGGTACCACTACAGGATGTCTGTCTAGGGTCTGTATTTACATTCCATACCCAGCAACCTCTCTGTTCGGACAGAACACACTGTGCCCAGTGTTGGTCAAGGCTGCCCACAAGATGGACAGCTCTAAGATATCCTCTCTAAGACATTTAGGAGCCTGGGTTCTAGAACAGTTTTCAGCAAAGGTAGCAGCAGACAGAAATTTCTTAGAAAAATCACTGTTATGGAATGTTCTAACCAAACATTCCATAACATAATCAGAATGTCAACACTGGTTCTACCAAGCATGAAGAATGGGGCTTGAAGGGGCTGGCAGAATGGCTCAAGTGGAAGAGCGTCTGCATAGCAAGCATGAGGCCCTGAGTTCAAACCCCAGCACCACCAAAATAAATAAATAACCTTGCTTTAGGAATAGCAGACACAGTTAGGTACTTTGGACTTCACTTGCATCAATTTAGTTAATATGAATTAATATCAGATTAGCCTTGTCTGAAGCCTGCTTTTCCAACATGTCATCCTTCTTTGCCGATTCACTTGGTTATAAGTTCCATTTTAAAAGAAAGTTCTTCCTCAATTATTTTCCCTCTCCACCAGTCACGTACACTTAAGCTCTTTGTTTAAAGTGTTCCCACAGATGTGATCTTACACTGACTCTATGGACCCCACGCATCCCTTAGTCGGGGATCTGGGCCCGGTCTATACTGTGAATGGGAAGACGTGGGGTGGGAGAAAAAAAGCAAGCAAACAAACAAACCGAGTCATGGGTGGTGAGACCACACCGTAGAGCGCAAGCAGACGTGACTATGTTGTGGACCTGGGACACACACACTAGAACCTTCCCACCAGCAAAGGTGACCGACCACAGGACCTGGGTCAGATGTCTGACATACTTCTCTGTAGGGGTTGAGGCGTCCAGTGTTTGTCAGAGTGAGTGTCAAAGAGTTAACACCTGAAACCAGGGTGATCAGGTCTCAAAACCACTGCTTCTCCTGCTCACTCACAAAGTGAGCGTGAACAGTGACAGCAAAACCATTTTCCTAACCATTTTGGTTTACAATTCTGTCTCCACCTTGGTGCTTCCTGCCCAGCCTGTATTCTCCCTGGCTGCCTTCTTTTGCTGCTCTCTCCGACAGGGCGCCCTTCTTCTTAGCTGGTTAATGCTACTTTCCCTTTAGGATCTGTTCGGGAAGGCGGGTCTGACCCCACAGCTGCCTCATGTTACCATCTCCCCGACTTACAGGCTCACAAGCCCTTCTCTCCCCTGCAATGTGGCTGTCTTCCTTCCTTATCACAGGGTGAGGTCTGCCTGCTCACCAGCCTTTCCCTGCACTGACCAGGAGGTGTGCTCACAAGCCACTTCACTCCACAGCACTTGAAAGCCCAGCATCCAGAACGGGCCTGGCGACCACACACTGTGTAGCACTCTGGAGCTGCCCCTCACAAGGGTGACTGCCCCCTACACGTACGGGCCACGTGCCCCTGCAAGAAAGGTCCTGATGTCCATTTTCAAAAGTGACTTTCTTTTAGAAATCTAAACTATACCTTTATCAGGGATGAGGAAAAAAGGATTAAATTTAATTAACTATTACATTTTACATCAAATAAACAAGAATGAGTGTGTGTGTGCGTGTATATACACACACTATAAGCAACAGGTGATTAAGGACCATTCAATCTGAATGAAAAGCACCATAGCTCTGGGATGAGCCTCAGGGAGGCCAGTGCCACGATGGGTCGTTTGCGCCTCGGGCCTCTCCGTGGGAGGCAGGCCCAGGGGAGAAGGAAGGACGGAGACCCGGGACCGTCTTACCTCCCAGTGGCTGAACACCAGCTGCGGGCTGGCCAGGCCACTCGTCCTCTTGCGGATTTCATCAGCAAAGCCAAAGCTCTCCGCCACGGGCAGCACGGCCTTGATGATAAACACGTCCGTGCCCTCCTTCATCTCCTCCTGAAGCACACGGCCTTCTCGTTTGGACAAGACGGCATAGACTCGTCCTGCAAAGCCAAAAGTCACATGGCCTGAGCCGCACACCGGCAGGACTTCCCGCACACCCTGTAACAGTCCACTAACGGTGGAATTCGTTCTTGGGTAACTTTGGTTTACAAAAAGCACGGATTATTTACTTAAAAAGGCATAACTACAGAACATTATAATTATACAAAAATTAAAAGTAAAATGTAAACCCCCAAACTTTGGTGTTAATCAGAGACGATTTCTACAACACAGCACGCGAGGCAGAATGCTTCTGCCCAAAGACACCTAGCTGTGCACAACTCTATGACACAGGCGACTTGGGCTCTTAAGCCACTGGCACAGTTGCATTTTTCACTCATAATTAAGACTACATATATCTAAGTGTTTGCTCACAGTTTCCTTAAACTGGTAACACTGAAGTGGCCTACATATGAGAGTTTCATTCCCCTGGAAACGGTAGCGTCAGGAATCTTTTATGAGGGAACAATCTGTAGAGCCACAACACAAGAATTCTATCAAGTTCTTCGGCTGACACAGCTTCAGGCACGAGTCTGCCTTCCACTCAGGACAGGCCTCCACGAGTGCCTGTGTGACTCAAAATCCTTCTAAGCGGCAAGAACAGGCGACAGCAGACAGAGCTGACAAGACACCACCACAGCCCTCGTGAACTTGCTGCGGCTGGCGGATGCTCTAGCAAGCCTCCTCTGTCCCTCCGGCCTGAGAAGTACTTTTCGTTCCACAGGTGCGCTCTGCAGTGTCCCTACTGGCAAAGAACAGTGTGTGCGCCACCCGCCCACCTCTTTTAGTCTAAGAACCAAGAACAAAGCAGAGCTGTCTCTGCGCGCTGTTCAGAGTCCCTGGTGGTGGTGAAGGTAACTCAAGTCACAGACCTTAAGATTAGAAATAAGCAGAAAAATAATGCTCTGTTAGTGAAGGAAGGTGCCACCTGTCCCTGTGTGCTCGTCCAGCTGGTTGCCACGCTCTCCTTCCCTCCGACACAGACACTACACAGGAGAGGTGCTTCCATCCCTTCACCCATCACTGATACCCAGGCTCTGCGTGCTGTCCTGGGCGCTACTGGAGCTGCTTCCTCAAAATTCCACAGTAGCGCCCATACTCCTACTGCATCGCCTTCACTCATCCCGAGACTTCCCGTCTCATGGTCAGTATGTGTGACACTACCGATCAGAACCTCCTCTGTCCTTTGCTCCTTGTATTCCCGGCACATCCCTCTGTTGTTGACGTCTGCAATTCTTAAGGCACAACCTCTTCTGGAGTCTTCTTTGCGGCTTCTTACTATTCACCAAAGTCCCCTCCAGAGAAACAATTCATTTATCATTTACGTTACTTAAACTAATTTTATGCTTCAGACTCCTGGACCAGGCCTCTCACTTGACCTCCAGTCTCACATTCACAATGACTGCCAGGACCTCTCCACCGTGGGGCCGGCCTCCAGTGTCACCACTGTCCACACTGCTGTCATCTGCACTAGAAATGTCAGTTATGTGACCTCACAGAAGGGAAGTGAGGATCAATGGGCTCTATCCCATTAGCCGTTATAATCGGCATGATGCCCTCGAAGGAGCTAGCTTGCCCCAGGAAGCTCCAACAGCCTCAACTTGCTCCCTGGAAAGCCACCACTGGTCCTCCTGTCCACCAGGTGGAACCCATCTGACTCCTCTTCCACAGCAGCCTTTAAGCTGCATGAAGCCCGCTGTCTTGCCTTCACCTCCTCTGACATACCCAGAAGTCCTGTTCTATCCCAGCTGCTTCACTACTTAACTATGATATTTTTTAACCTCTCTGAGAAAGTGGAATTCAGAAAGGAAGACAAGATTTCAAGCAGAATGTGAAATGCTCTGAAAGAAGAATGACAACATCTACCTTATCGACCCCCTAAGGAAGACAGACCCTTCCATCCCGGGGTCTGCCTGACGAGCACAGAAAAAAATCTTGGTGTAATAGCTGGTATGTGTGAACTGGTACCCTCTGCCCTCTCATTCTAAGAGCAGTTTTAAGGCAGTGGTGGAAGTGAATACAAAGCAACGAGTAAAAGAGAACGAGAAACTGGGTTGCTGGTGGGCATAGCAGCTCTTCCCTCAGGAGTTCTGCCCACAGCTTGGATCAATTGTCACTGAGGCAGAATATAATTGATCCTCCAGTTTACAGCCATTTGGTTTTAATTCCACTAAAACTACATCCTAAAACAGGCCTGATGATGAAACTGCAAGGCAACTTTCCATGTTCGCTTGGCCTTCACAACCAACAGGACAGGCATGTCCAGGGCTCGATGCACTCAGATCCTGTCACCGGTGACAATTTCTAGTCATGTGGCCCTGATGGTGAATACCATAGCCCCTCTTCCATCAGGATAAGGTACCAGACTGTGGTCACTTGTTTGTTCACACACTCACAGGAAGACAGCTTAGTGCCCTGCAGTGTGAAAGGCATCAGGGAAGAGGAATTTTCCAGAAAAGACAACAAAAAGTGGCCTGGAAGAGTTGTGCCCAGCACTCAACTCAAATGGCCAACCAGAAACATCCCAGCCTATATTCAAGGCCTGTGGAGCCTAGCAGCAACCCATGGCTTCAGCTCCTGTGACCACCAGGGCCCAGAGCCTGAGCTCGAAGCCAATGTAAACCACTCCCAGGGGTTTTCCGCTCAGAGCTCGCAGCATCTCTCCAGCCTGGAACGCACAGTCCTTGTCCAGTCTGTATTCAAGGCCTCTTCCCAGACCTCATGTGTTCTCTTCAGGGTTCCAGACTCAGACACATCTTCAACCACAATAGCGAGGGCAGTCCTCAGACTCCACAATCAAAAGCTGGAGGGAGGAAAGCTGTGTCGTCTCTTTCTGAGTTCAGGAAAGGAAGGAGCTGTCTACAACACATTCCCCTAACAGTAAACAGAGGAAACAATGGGAATTCCCAATTTGGGATGATGGTTCAGTGCATCATCAAATTAAGAGGAATTATGCAGAGATTAAAGTAAAAATTATGAGTGATAAGGACCAAAGAGAGGCAGGCTTAAAAATAAATAACATACAGAAACAATTTGTTAAAGTACTTCTACCAAAAGGTTACAGCTGTGCAAAATGTTCTGTTAAGGACAAGGGTCACAAAAGAAAACGGAAGAGGGAAGATGCTTTTTGTCTTCTGATTTTTGTCATTGCTAGTAATACTTGTGAAGTGTTTTCAATAACACACACACACACACAGACACTGGTGGCACTTCTTATCAACTAGTTCAGTTCAGACTAACTTCTCTTTTGCCACAAAGCCATCAAGCACTGTGGCTGACAGGACGCAAATGGACACAATGGTCACTCCTACAGACGAACTCAGCGCAAGTTTGGTGCTAACCAGTTCCCCTACCCTCAAGGAGGTGGTCAGAAGCTCTGCTCATAGCTCCCAGGTTTTATTCTTGTCACCCGCTTCTTAAACATTCAGAAGACACCACTGAGCCCACGGTGGACGCGAGGCTGGCAGGGTATCACTAGGATGTTCTATGTTGGGTTTAACCAGCCAAGCACCCAGGAGTGGAGAGGTAATGCTCACAGGAGTCCCCAAAAGCCTCCAGGAAGGAGTTCAAGCTCATCTTCAGTGTGCTGTGGTCAGAAATGCTGAACTCAAAATCAGTCCATCCAGCAAGGTCCATTTCAAAGCAGCACCACTTTCAAAAGACCCACCCTGTTTCAAATGTCACCAGTCCCATTTTCTCATAAAATTTCACCAGAAAACCGTGTTTGTGCACTAAATTCAACTGTATCTTACTTTTTAATTGTTTAATATTAAGCATGGTCCTCTTAACTCATCTCTCAAGTCATACTTGAAACAAGAATTGGTCCATGCAGCTCGGTGAGCCTTTGCTGAACAGACTATAAAATGCTGGTGAACTGTAGAAAGAACCACAGTGCTGAAGGAAAAGGGTTTCTAAAAAGTACAGAGTGATACTTGGGGGGGTTTCTGATGAACAATGTCAGCGTTTATCCCTGTGTAAAAACAGAACTCCAAGAAACACAGTGTGATTAAAATTCTAGTTTTAACTCTGACAAAAAGAAAGGGTTTTTGTTGTTGTTTTGTTTTTGGTAACACTGGGGCTCGAACTCAGTCCTCAGCAAGTGCTCTACCACTTGAGCCATACCCCACCCCCCTTTCTGCTTTAGTTATTTGGTGGACAAGGTCTTGTGTTCAAGCCCAGGCTGGCTGGTCTAGACTATGATCCTCCTATGTGGGCTTCCTGTGTAGCTGAGATGACAGGAGTGCACCACCAAACACCCAGCTTTTATTGACTGAGATGGGGTCTCGTGAACTTTTTGTCCTAGGTGGTTTTGAACTGGTCTTGAACTGCAATCTTCCTGATCTCCTGAGCCATTGTGTCCAGCCCTTAAAAAGAAGTATTGTTTTAAACATGAAGCTACTGCCAAAGATTTTTTTTAAAGAGAGAGCATAAGTGAAAGAGGTTAACAGGTTAGAGGAAACAGAGACAATTTCCTGGTCACATGACAAGAAGGTGAAAAATGGTACCTGCAGCGTCCAGGGACAGAACAAGGAAAGACAGCCATGCGTAGGGCTGGTGGAGTGGCTCAAACAGTGCAGTGCCTTCCTGGCAAGCAACAAAGTCCTGAGTTCAAACCCTATTACCACCAAATACCAAAAACCAACAAAGACAGCCATACCTTTAGAAAAGTGAATTTTAAAAGTAAGGAAGGGCATTTTCTTGAGATTTTTTTCCCAGATAAACAATTCTAAGATGATTACTTTTCTGTATTTCCCATCTTGATTATATGCAAATCTATCCATGTATAGAAGGATTTAACAATCTGTGCAGAAAGAATTAAGTTTTAAAAAGAAACCAAGGAAACTGATTTTGCAAAATAAGAAAAGAACTAAATCAACTTGTGCGGGTTCTTTGAGAATTAAAAGGAATAGTTGGCAAGGTCTGAAGTCATCTGGGAAGACATCCGAACATCCAGGCAGGAAGCAAAGGGCCCTAGGAACACAGAAAACTTTCTTCACTTCTTCGTCTAGTTGAAGCTATTGATTCAGAAAAGAAAAGGAAAACACAAGTCAACAGCTGAATGTCAATGGACCTTGGACTCTGAAATGGACTGCCAGAACCAAAGAGCCCCAAAGCAGTGAGAAAACAGGACCAGAGGGGTTCTCTAGTCAAACAAGACGATGTCAGACCAGCAAAAGAAGGAAGAAGGGATAGAGGGAGGGATGAATAAATGAACGAATGAATGAGTCTGGGTCAAATCCAAACACAGTTTCTTTGTAAAGCAGTGGGTTGGAGCAAGCTTTTTCTCTTGATCCCTTGTTACTACTGAACCTAACCAGGGCTAACTGGGGGCGACTGGAGATGCAGAAAAGATACAGGATAGACAGACAGAAAGTTGGAGCCAGGTGTGTTGGGTGCTCGGGTGGAGACGCACAGCAGCCTCATTGCTTCTTTTTTCTACTTTCTTCATTTACTCTGCTTCTTATCTCTATCTTTATTCTTTAAGGCCTTACTCCTTTACTATTCTTTAAAACCTTGCTTCTAAAATCTTTCCTTAAAACCTTGCTTTTATAATTTTTTCTGTTCTTTAAAGTTTCTTTCCTTAGACTCGCACTGTCCCATGTTTTCTCTTAGCTGTTCTTTAGCATATCTGTTAAAGTCTTTGCCCCCAGACTTCCACTGTCCCATATTCTCTCTTTAGCTTTCTTAAAGCCTCAGCCCTGAGGCTTGCTAGCAATTCCCCTTTAGCAATTCTTTTCCCTTCCAAGAGCCTCCCACACCCAAAAGCCAAAAGCCCAAAGCAAAAGCCCCCAAAGCAAAAGCCTCCGTTGTCCTCCAGCGAGTCTTTTCTATCCAGTGGTAAACACAGGGAGGGGTGTGACATCATAACAGGAGAAACCTGTGTTCCTACTTCTCTGAATGTAAACAACCTAGGAGAAGCAGCTGTTCTGCATCTTCCTCTTCTGTGGCCGGGGCTGTGCCAATCTCGGCCTACAGATAAACATCTTAGGAAAAAAAGGTGATCTGCATCTCGCCTTGCTTATGACCAGTTCTCATAGGCTTCTCGTAATCCTCTCTCCACAGTGGGTCTCAGGGAACTGTGCTGAAAAAGCAGGCCAGTGACAAGGGAATAGCTGCAACAGCAGCTACACGGAAGGTAAATAAGTGAGGGTTTCACAGCTGGCAGAGAGGCCTGGCACTGTGGGATTTGTATGTGGATAAGGCCAGGCAAAGACGTACTTTACTCCAGAGCAAGAAGGCAAATAACCCTGAGTGTCAAGACTGGCCCGTCTCCCTGGAAGATGGCAGCACTGCATCCAATGGCCAGGTAGAAGATAAAAGATGACAACTAATAATTTGAGTTCTGTCCTAGGGCAGCCTGATCATGTGCAGCGGCTGGGTGCACACAGAAGTAAGAAAATGACACAGAGGTGACACAAACAGTGTGCTGGGAATTCCAACCTGAGAAATGCCATTGGCTGATCTTGGCTTCACGTTATGCTGAATATTTGCCATCTCAGAACATAAGGGACAAGGGGCGAGGGCTGTAGCCCAGTAGCAGAGGGCTTGTGTAGAAAACGAGGCAGAAGAGCCACTGGAAAGGTTTGACGCAGAGGTGCTGAGAACATGGTAGGAATGGTTCCCATTATCTTGACAGAAGGACAGGCAGAGACCTGCATGGACCTCGGACTTTAAGATCACTTCAGATAAATAAGGGAAAGGAAGAAATGAGGAAATAAAGACAGACCCCTAAACAGAGTCCAAGAGAAATCGCGAGTGATCCCATAGAAGAGGCAGCCCCCTAATTTCCATCTTCATAGGACATGCACAGAGGCTGGAGGGGCACTGGCTAAGGGAACTGGTCATGTGTGCAGCATGTTCTTGGCCATGCCAAGCCAAGGCTCCAAACTAAAGACAACACAGAAAGCCTTTCCACTGCTTTGAAAGCAGGAAGCATGTCCACAGCCTGCAGAAACCCGGGCAGCGCTGACAGAGGAGGGCCAGAAACAGTTTCAACGCCCATGTTACTCCACTCTCAAGCAAGGAGAACGTTTAGTAAGAATGCTTGTGTTCAAGATGCCAGGAAGCTGCTGAGCAAACACCAGACTTCTTATGACAAGGACCAGGACTTTACCTCTCTTAGCTTTGGGAGAAACTGTGGATAGCAGGGTACACCACGTGACAGGTTAACAGCAGCTCACCACTGAGCTCTTTTTGAGGACAAAAACGCTGGAGTCTATGAACTGCAAACTAGAAGGCCTTATGCTAGTTTAATCTGTGCTTTCTAACATAACTGGTAAGTGGATTGTCAGGAGAAGGCTACAACATAAAGCACCTTCACTCCATTAGAATGTTTGATCTGCTGACAGCAAAAGAACCCAGGAAGCAGCACCAGATGTTGAGATAAAACATTTTCTTACCATGCTGTAGTGATTATATAATAAATGTAAGTGAAGGAAAAGTATAGACTCAGATTGCTGGTAACATAAACTCAGGAGTTCATGAGACTTCATTATTTCTACAGTCTAGGTCATAACTAAAACGTGGATCCTGCCTTTGGAGGAACAGACTGGGATGACGTCACTTTAAGAGATGGGTGGATCCTGACTCTCCTGATGAATTGCTGACTGTCGTGGCTCGTGGGGGCTAGCAGCCCGCCTGGGTTCTGTATGGGGTGGAAGACCTCTCAGGCGTATGCTCAAACTCGGTTCAAGTTTTAGAAGGATGCCAGAGAATAAAGCATGTGCCAAGGACAGCAAGCAGAATGGGGAAGAGCAAAAAGTTATGAAAACAGGTAGGGGTCTGGAAATATTTCTCCTGGTAATGCTCACCTCACCCGTGAACAGCTACCACGTGGAAGGAAAAACAAACAGTGGTGCACATTGTTGGAACTAGGAGGAGACTGACTTTGTGCTCAGTCTAGGAAAGATAGCGTCTAGGGCAGAACTGCCTACGAGCTGCCCAGCAACGGAGAGTTCAAGCAGGGGTGGGGCGAGCACCTGCCAGGGCCAGAACGGGAGCTGCGTCTGAGCTCCTCCAGGACGGGAAGGAATCAGGACGCCTTGGTGTAAACTCTACCTCTGCCTTCTAAGAATCTTGATGAAAACATAGAACGACACCTGGGGATGGTCTGGAGAGGTCTATGGACCCACTGACGATGCTAGGCACACGCTGCTCAACTAGGGTTGAAACCCGGTACATCACATGTCATATGTAGACACTTGGCTTAGTGCACACGGGCTGCAAGTCACCTCAAGGTTCCTAATTTGTGCAACTTCGCTGAGCTCAGCTGCTTTGCAACATGGCTGTGAAAGCTCAGTTTGTGTCACAGGAACCTTACTGTGATGCAAGCCTAAAGTCCTTTCAGGAAAAAAGAGGAAGCTTACGTTTTCTCCGTTCAGGAACTAATCAGCAAAAGAAACCACAAAAAGCACGGTAATTAAGACACATTGACCCAGAGGACCCCAGGGCCAGAGGAAAGCTGGTAATTTGGTCTGCTGCATCTTCTTCCACACTCCAGTTCCAGTGTCTCCAGAGAATAGCAGATCCACTGTGTCCCAGGCACAGGTTGGAGGCGTGTCGTCTGTGTTCTCATTTGAACCTTCACAACCTATCAGGAGCTATTATCCTCTTTTTCTATAGAAGAAAAGAAACCTCAGTGACGTGGTATCGGTCAAATGTCAAAATAGCTAATGTGCACTGCATCAGAGCCCGGTCTCCAAGACTCCAGGGCTGCTTCTTCCAAAGACAGAAAAACCAGAAACGGATTTGATATAATGCTCAGCAGTGAAAAACTCTTTCTCAGAAAGGACCCCAAATCCACAGGAGCGAATTCTGTTGGATTAAGAATATGGCCTTATTTTTTGATCATTTTTTCAGGACAACTTTGGTTACCCAGGCTGACACGCTTACCCACCTAGAAGAAAAGGGAGACATGTCTGGATGGGAGCAGGTAGGCGCAGTCCACCCTCCTTTACCAGACGTTCATTATACGAAGATTACATCTGATGCAAAGACAAGTCAGGTCTGTGTCCCTCTCAAGACTTTACTACTTGAGACCTCTGGCCTTCAAAGATCCTAACTCCCCAGTAAGTCAGAAGATGGTGTGTGTGGCTTCAGTGTTAAGATCGCAAGACGCCCCACTGCCCGGGCACGCCTCCCCACATCACCTTCCCTCCTTACCGAGAACCTCACTGGTGGCCATGATGTCACATGTGTACATGGCCGCCATCAGGCGCTGTGGCTTCACTTGCAGTGCGTATCGACAGGCTTCTTTCATGGTGGCAATCAGCTGCCCCGAGAAGGGTCCGTAGCAGTCAGCGACCGAAGGGTCTGCCTTCTGGGAGGTCCTCTTCTCCAAGGGCTCCGCATAGCCACCCTGTGGCTCCTGCCTTTCGTGGTGGGCTTTACCCTCGCCCTGTGGCTCTCCTGCCTGATCACTTTGCTCTTGGTTCTCTCTCTCACTCACTGCTTGTTCCTCAAATTTACTCAGGTCCCATTTTTCCAGAACAAAGCAGACTCCCATGAGGGGCTCCTCACACATTGGACCGGAAAGCGTGGCGAGCTGGAAGCCACTCACGATGCTATTGCCGAAGTCCCGGTACCTCCTGGCCTCTTTCGAAGCCCTGCTGGCCGGGGCCGTCCACACAGAGTTCTGAAAGTCCTCACTCTGACTGACCAGAATGTTGGGCCCACATTTTCTTGGGCCAAACGACCAGATTTGGTCCACGGTGTTCCTCCATTTTCTCCCTGTTAGGTGTTGCTCTAGTTTTCCTTTGAATTCCCAAATTTTGTCTTGGGTCTTCTGATGAATCACTTGAGTGTTTTTGCCCTCATTCAAAGAGGATGTCAGCTGCTCCATGGAACGAATCAAATCACTGTTTTCTTCCAGAATCTGAGTGACTGCTTCTGGAAGGGGCAGAGCTCGAACACTGAGTGTGGCGAGTTTATTGGGGGTGGTCATGGTGATCAGCCCATCAGAGTCCACCTGGATTCCTTCTGGGATTTTGCTCTGATCTTCTTTGGCTTGGTGTATGACTGCAACCTTCTGCTGCTTGCCTATTTCTTCATTGACCATGTCAACCTTCGGGGGCTTTGTGATTGTTTCTCTGAATGGAATAATGGGCTCAGATACACTGATGTGAATCTTTGCAAACCTACAAATCCAAGGAAAATGACAGAAGGTTATAATCAAAACAGCAGCTAAGTTTCCCATTATACAGTGAAGTCTGCAAAAACACAGAAATGTAACCATTATTTTACATTGAAAGATCTATAATCTATATTATATCACAATTGAAAAGCTGCTTTCACTTCAGATTGCAAAGACTGCCTCTAATGGGAACATACCATCAGGGAGTTCTTCCCTTGTACTGGAACTTCACTGCCTTGTTCATTCTCAAGATAAATAAGCCATCTATTTAGGTAAGGATGTTTCAACTGGAAAATAAGTGCTGTAACAGGACTCAACCGGGGAAGTCTTTGAATAAAGTTTGCCAACAGCAGAGTCTGGAAAAGAAAACCTCAATGATGACCACTCTGAAAAAACACAGAATCAAGAGACTTTCGGGATGGCTAGTCACGGAGTGACCCAGGAGTCTGTCTAGAGCAACGCCTCCCGAACGGACTTTGTGCAAGGATGAAAGCATTCAGTGTCGTCACCGGAAGTGTGCCTAGTAGTACACTTGAATTTTAAATTTAGTTAAATTTAAATAGCCACACTGCTACTGAGTGTTTGAAGTGTGACTGAGGAACTGGAATTTTAACTAATATGATTTTAACCAGCTTTGTGTGGGTAGTGGCTGTACTGGACAGCGCAGGTTTGAGCCCGAACCTGGTGTCGTCTTCTCACACAGCATCAGCTTCACTTTCTTCCAAACGAGTCATAAATTCACCTACGGCAGTGTAGGGACAGGAGCAGGGGGACAAGGATGATGAAGAAGCAGGCAAGTGCTCCTATCCTTCCTTCCGTCTGTCCCCCGTCACTGTCAGCTAACACTAGGGGTCTGGTCTGGTCTCTGCTGGTACTGGCACCTGTGTGTGTGTGCATATGTGTACACACAGGTATGTTAGATGAATTTCTGGGATCTTGGAACATACTTTCCCTGGGATTGCTATTTAATAAGGAAACTGGACACTCAAAGTTTTTTTTAAAACGCTAACATTTGATTCTAGGTTTCCTTCTGTTTTCTACATTTTGTAGAAAGGCCCAGTATTTTGTAGTTAAGGGCCAAGTATCTGATTTATCACTTTTTGATGAATTTGGAAACTTAAGAAATGGATGGTGTTCTAAAAATGACAATGCCCAAACAGACTTTAGAATCCAGAACCTGAAACAGATTTCATGAATTGCAGTTGAATCTCACTGAAGAACTCAGGTAAGATGCCACCGAGGACAATAAAGCCTGTGTGTCCGTATGTACTGTGACTCCAGCGATCACTCGATGTGAGTCCCAGGTTTGTTCTTAGGAGGGGGGCTAGTGCTATCTTCATCAGCTAAGTCCAGCTCGCTACATTCTCCGTGGGGCTCACAAACACAGAATCTAGGGTCAGATGTGGGTCTGACTTCAGAATCCACTTGCTCTCATGCTGCATGAGAAATGGAACGGGACAGCCTATCACAGGGAAAACTCGCCACGTTAATGACTTCTGTCACATGTCACATGAAGTTAACATGCGTTAGAGCTGTTAAAAGTTATACGTCAGTTCAAAATGTCCATCTGTATCACAGTCTTTTCAAATGCCAAACTGGCATTTGATGAAATTCAAACCAACCTATTCTTGATTTGAAACAATCACTTGGAAATCTTAAATCTTAAAAATGGGAAAGTAGTTTAAAAGTCACTGTAATTTAGAAAACATAGTTCATCTATTCAGAACATTCAAGAAAATCAACTACAAAGCCACTGCCACTGAAAGGAAATGCACCTATAACATTTTCTTCTCAGCCTTGTATTATGAAGTAAGAAGTTACGCACCGCTGGAGGCTGGAGTCCTTCCAGCTTCTGAGTCCCAGGCAATGTCCTCCTGGAGTCACTTAGTGACTAGTGACAGCCTCTCTGCACAGCGTGTGGCTGCCACAGAAAAAGAGCAGTTTCCTTAAACACTAGCAGTGCAGAGCCTGTCACTACCTAGGAAGTGCAGTTGGGGTGGGCTGTAACAGCACCACGGTACCCCCTGGGGCCCTGGCCCCATCTGCCCCTCACCACCTACAGGTGTGTGTGCCAAGGACTCAGATGGCTTCTCTGGCTTGGAGATCACAGGTACTTTTCTTATTTCCCATTCCTCATATGAACCATTCCTACAAATGTTGACCAAGCTGAGAAAAAGTTTTGTATTAAAAGATAGGGCTCTTTAAAAAAAATTCTAGCAAGTTTAGATATGCTAATATAACTGTGAAATTCGGTAGGCATACAGAGTAGTACACAAACAGAACACCCACATAAACTATGTTCAACCCGATAAAAACCAGAGCACTTCAAGCCCTCAAGGCGAAGACTGTCCACACCTTCTCCCCATCCCATGAAAGTGACCACGGTCCTTTTATGGTGGTGACCGCCCCCTCTTTTGTTTTCATCATCTGAACATCAATCCTTACACTCTACAGTGAAGTTTAGACTGCTTTTTAAACTTTATATAAATGAAATGAACACTTTTTTGCAATCTTCTTAATTTCTTGCTGTGAGATTGCTTCGTGTTCACATGGCCGTGGCTTTGTAAACAGACTGTCCTGCAGAATTCCATCACATGACTACAGCATGATTTATTTACCTATCTACTTCATTGTTTGCTTTCAACTCTGGACTGTTTCAAGTTTTGCTGCTAGGGCTGGGGTGGGGCTCCGTGGTAGAATGCTTGCCTAGCATGGGTGGCCCCGAGTTCTATTCCCAACCTCCCCCACACCAAACCCCAAGTTGCTGGCTGGGCATATGACACATGCCTATAGTCCCGGGTGCCTAGGAGGCCAAGGCAGAAGGAATGCTTGGGTCTGAGAGTTGGAGGCCAGCCTGGGACCCCAATCTAAAAGCACTGCTAGTGAGCATCATTTAGTGATGTACATTTGCTCAGCTTGGTGTTGTGTACATTTCCATAACAGGTAACAAAGCCACATTCCAAAGTAGCTGCACCAAGTCCCACACCTTCGAGTTTCAGAGGACTCTGCATGTCTCATCTGGTGGGCACACAGACGTATCTCGCTGTTGGAAGACTTGTTTGAGCCTCTGCACCACTTCCTATGGTCTGTGGCTTTCCTCACTACTTTCAGGAATCCTTCACATACGAGGACACGGGGCCCTTATCTGGTACACCTACTTCAAAGATCTGCAGCTGGCCCTCCGATGTGCTTTCCTCATTGTCCTGCAGAGCTGCCCACTTCTGGATTCTCTACCTCTCTACCCTTGGGTGAGTGTCACAGCCTTAGACACAAGGCTTACAATAAGGCTTTACTTCTATTACAGCAGGACCCCTCCCCCCATTCCTCTCCTTCCAAGGTGTTCTGGTTTTTAATGTGACCTTCAAATGTCCCCACAATTATTTTTGAATCAACTTGAAAAGTCCCACACACATATAAACACACTGAAATTCTGACTTGGATTGCTTTGAATCTATAATCAGTTTGGGGAGGATGGAAATAATTAAAATGTTGAAAATTTCAAGCCATGAAGATGGTATATACCCCTTTATTTCATAGTTCTCAGGGTTTATAAATATGAATAAATTTTTATTCTTAGATATTTGGTATTTCTATTGTCTAAATGGTAATTGTAAAATAACTGTTGGTGGTATTTGCTCCATGGTGGAGTGCTTGCCTAGCAGGTGCGAGGCCATGGGTCTGATGCCCAATAACCCCCACCCCCCAAAAAAACCCCATAAATTCCTGATCATTACTAATATAAAGAAAAAATAGATTTCACACATAATCTCAAATTCATCAACCATGCTGGGATTATTCACTGATCCTGATAACTGCTGTAGATTCTTCTGGATTTTTGGGTCATACCACCTGGAAATGATGACAGTTTTGTTTTTACCTGTTCAATTCTCATATTTTAAATTTTTATTCGGCTTCATAATGCTGTGCCAAACCCAGCCCTGAAAAGTTCACCAGTAAGTAAGTACATGTTTGCTACAGTTATCTTGAAAACAGCCTTTGTCAGTCTAAGGAAGTTCTCTTTTTTCCTGGCTCGCTAAGATTCTGATAATGCAGAGACTCTGAACTTTGCCAATTTTTGTATCTATCACAATCACTTCTCACCTTTTTCTGCTAATGTACTACATTCACACTGATTGAAATTTTCAATGTTTTGTAACTTTGAATTTCTTGTACAGTTACAGGATGTTAGTCACTTTCCATCACTGTGACAAAATGCCTGAGAAAACAACACAGAAGACATTTTGGCTCACACTTTCACAGGTTCCAGTCCAAGTTCTGCTGCCTCCTTTGTACATCATGAGCCCAGGAGCACCTGGCAGAGGAAAGATGCTCTCACAGCAGCCAGAGACGGGGAGTTAGAGGGAGAGAGACACACAGAGACAGGAAGGGCTAGGGAGAAGATATACCCTTCAGACCCAGCACGGCGACTCACACTGGTAATCTACCTACTCAGGAGGTAGAGATCAGGATCGCAGTTCAAGGCCATCCTGGGCAAAGAGCTCACAAGACCCCCATCTGAACCAGTAAAAGCTGGGGGTGGTAGTAAGTGCCTGTCATCCTAGCTATACAGGAAGCATAAACAGGAGGATCATAGTCCAGGCATAAATAAGAGACCCTATTTGAAAAACAACTAAAGCAAAAAGGGCTGCTATCAGCAGCCCTACCCCCCTTCAGCCCCTTTGAAATTTACCCACCTTGTCTGGCCCACAGCTTCCCCAGCATTCCAAGGAGGCTGTTAGGGATCAAGTGGTAGAGCACCAGCCTAGTGAGCCTAGGGCCCTGAGTTCAAACCTCACTTCCAGGGGTTTGGGGGGAGGGAAAGTACACTCTTCAAAGGTGCCCCAGTCACCTACTTCCTGTAACCAGGCCCCGCCTCTTACAAGCCCACTCACTCAGCACAAGCTCATCAATGGATGGCACTGATGAAGTTACTGCCTGCACGATTTGATCACCTACCAACAGCCTCCAGCTGGGGAATGCCTTTACTACATGAGCCCTGTGGGTGGGTATTTCAGATTCAAATAACGGAACTATGGAGTCTTCTATCTTGTGTTGGTTAGATTCTCCTTGGAACGTGTTCATTTCTTTAATATTTATCAGCATGAAACTGTCAATATCCTCTTATGCTTCTTGGCTCAAGACAAGATACCTAGTATCCAGTCACGAAGGCATTCACCGCTCACGGGACAATGGTGCTGAAGAATGCCACCCATGCTTGTGTCAACAGCAGGGGCTGAGCTTTCTCAGTGGTAGAAAGCTGGCCTCAGCTTGCCATAGACACTGCCTGGCTGGCCCCCAATGGGCCTGAGCACATCTGCTTGAGTTCCCACACATGGTCTCTCGACGTGTGCATCAGGGAGTCCTCTCAACCTGGGCTCCAGGAACCTCTCTGAGTTCTCAGGAAACTGAGCTGGATAACTTCTCCACCACACTGGGCCACACTGCAAAGGAAACTGTTTTGTCTGAGGAGTACATGAGCAGCAGTTTCCAAAACCGGAAATTTTAGGAAAAGCAGTTAAGGAACACTTCAGTATTTATATGGTACTGTCTGGTGTGGTAGTATGTACCTGTAATCCCAGCACCAAGGAGGCTGAGGCAGGAGGATCACAAGTTCAAGGTCAACGTGGGCTACATAGAGAAACTCTGTTTAAAAAAAAATTTGTACGGGGGCTGGTGGAGTGGCTCAGGTGGTAGGGTGCCTGCCCAGCAAGCATGAGGCCCTGATTTCAAACCCCAGAATGCCAAAAAAAAACAACCCAAAAAACAAAAAAACTAAAAACAAACATATAGTATCTCTATAAAGGCAGTATACATTTTTCCAAAAGCA